AATGTTAAAACAATCAAGAGAGAAAAGAAGAAAGAAAAAAAGGAAAAGAAAAGAAAGAATTAGAGGAATCAAAGGGGAAAAATTGAGATAATAGTCTTCAGGTACAAAGTTAATTGTTTACTATCTGATATCATTTCTGAGGTCGTAAGCTAGGAGAGAGAGAAATAAAGGAAAGGAGAGGATGATTAAAGTTGTTGTCATTTATTGATCTCATGTTTCTTGTAGTCATACATCAATTTGTTAGTTGCTTTCTGAGAATTTAGATATGAGGATAAGATAATGTCATCTGGAGAGGGAAGGGTAATTGCAAGAAGAAAAGGAAGAAGAGAAAAAAGGAAGAGAGAAAAAAGGATATCGCTGCTGATGTTTGGACTGTTGGTTAATCAATTGGCATGTTTTTGGTTTATGTTGCTGGTTTTCGATGGTGTGACAAAATTGTGGTCCATCTTCTAGGGTTAATAAGGGTTAGCAGTCGAGGTCATGACTTTCAATTGAGCAAAGTCGCCAGTGTGAGAATTAACGTACTCATCACAGATCGTGGCCCAGGTCATACAGGATCTGTGGTTGGAGGGATGACCACTCTCTCTACCATTAACCAGACATGTTCGACACTCAGGAGGATTAGCACAGAGATATGATTGACCATGATAGGGTCGATTGCACACAGAGCACAAAGGCTCAGCCGAGCAAGGGTGATATTCCGCTCCATCAGCATTCACAAAGTGGCATCGAAGACATTGTTGTTGACCAATCTCATCATAAACTTGTGCAACCGAGTCATTCGCCAATGTAAAATTCCAGCGATTTTCAATCATAATGTATCTTTCATTGGTGCGAAAGCTGACAAAATGCCAGTTCAAAATTGACGGTCGATGAACTTCAGTGACTGTGAGTGCGTTGAAGCCAATGTTTTCCACCAAGTCATCGACTATTTCTTCAATTGGAATTCTCGTTCCTTGAAACGCCATTGAATAAAGAGGAACCTTCGACTCTCGAGTGACCACCACGTCTCCACAATCTTCCTGAGAATGTATCAGCATCTCAAAGTCCAAGTATTTACGCTTAAGAACAGCAACTCGCATCTCTTTTTGTCGTTCATTTATCATCACTCTGGACTGTAGCCAACCATTCAGATGCTCACCATTTGTTAAGAGCTCACCGATCGCAAACATCTGGTTGTTGTCCAAATAACGAATTTTGACTTCTTGGAAGGCAATTGCTGGATCCATTAATCTAAAGGTGAAGTACGGGGCTGTGGTAAGCCTCTAGTAAAACCAGATGATTCTCTAGAAGCAGATATGTTGATCTCATTAATGGTCATTTTTGTCTCCAGTAGAGTAAAGGTCACCAAGAAATATCACTCAAATTTGACGGATCTTTGATGAAGAGATTGTTGAACAGCAGGAGAGAGAAAAAGAGGAAGAAGATAAAGAAGAAAAGAACAAAGATTAAGGCAATAAAAATTCATGAAAGACTATGAGAAACATTAGAAAAAGTGATCATGCTGTTGCTATGGCGAGATCATCAGTAGCTCATTAGTTAGAGCTGACATCTGGTGACTCGTGGTTACATCGTTAGCATTCCTTTGTTTTAATTTGTGATCCTTGTCAATTTCTGGAACTTTAAGCATAATTAGTCCTTTTAATCCCCGCTGTTTTATCAGTTCACGTCTTTCTTTATCTTTTGTTTCATCCAGTAACAGCCACTTTTTTGTCATTTCAACATCCGGTAAGTCGTATAATTGGTAACATTTTCCATCGAATCTAATAATATTACCATATTTGATTTTAACCTATTTCTCAAGGTCTTCGGTATTTCCATCAGAACAACTAGTTCTCCACCCCTGGTAAAGCATTGGATTCCTTTTATATCATCTTCCTTTAGCTGATAAAGCACTGAGAGTTTCATCTTGATCTTTTCACCATCTCTTTCCTCAAGATTTCCCGAGAACCAGACCATCACCTTGGTTGGGTCTTTACCATCAAGAATCTTTACACCTTCACTTAGAAGTTTATCCAGAGACTCACTCATTTTAAAAGGTTGACCACAAACTGTAATGAAAGGATAGTTGTTAACGTCTGATACGTTTGGTAGGACGATATTAATAAGGTAAGTGTTTAAATAGCGATGAAAATAAGGTGAATAAAAAGCTTCTGATGATTCAATATAGAGTAAAAGGAAATCTTGTTTTTCTTTTCAGTGATTGGGCCACCTGGTGGATTTACTTCTGACATGCACATCATTGCTTTATATCATGATGTTGGGGTGGTTAGAGTATCTTCACAGCCCCTTTCCACCGTTATCATTTCTTCAGTTGGATTTGACTCATTCAAGTTGAAGGCACAGGTCCAAAGGATCATAAGTGAGGCCTCACTATCAGATCTAGTTGTCTTACGAGGCTATAATTGTATACGCATTCTGATAGATCAGGAGGAGAAGGTCCAAACAGTACTGGCATTGTTCAGTAGTCACAACTTGGTGCCAAGAGTTGCTGATTTTCTGAGACCCACTATGAAGTATTTGTTACCGGTTACTTTTCCCGGTGGTTGTGAGCGCCTACTTCATTGGTTGGTCACAAACTTTCCAGGGTACGAGGGTCATTTTAAGGTGCGAAACATTACTCATGGTAACAAGTTTATTTCCGTTATCGTTGAGGTTCCATCCGCATTTCGTCAGCAGATTCAAGTACCAATATTCATCATTGACGGTTATCATATCGAGTTTTATGACTGTTTTTCCATTCGCTGCTGTGATTACTGTTCGCAATTAGGTCATACAGTTCGCTGTTGTCGCAATCCACCTCAATGTTCCCAGTGTGGTCAAGGGCATGTGACTATGAAATGCCCGTATAGTTCAAGAAGAACAAATTGGTTCTGCTCCCGATGTGCCACAATCGGACATTCTGCAAACTCAGTCCAATGTCCCGTTTATTTTCGTATTTTGTCACAACAAATTGCAAAGTTCGACTGCATTTACTCGAGCATTTTTTTACCGTTAAGAAATTTGTATTAATATAAACATTAGAGAGAGAAAAAAAAGGTTTCATTTATTCAGTTGATTAGTTTGGAAGAAGAAGAAAAGAAAAAAAAAGATGATGCCAAGGAGAGAGGAAGAAAAAAGAAAAAAAAGGAGGGGTGTTTCAAGTCGTGGCGGTTCTGAAAAGAAAAAGTAAGAAGAGAAAACTCTGAAATTCCATCAACATATTATGTTTCAAGTTCCTAGCGATCAAGATTTTCAAGAAAGATATTGGTGTACTGGTGGTTTATCTTCTCAAGTTCATTTTGTAGCTTTATTAACATGAAAGGAGATGAATAATCTTTTTAAATTTTTTTTGCTTAAATGGATGATGAAATCACATTATTTCGATTCTCATATGTACGTGCATGAATAATTCGACACCAATAAAGGCATCTATTTAAATATATGCATAGATCCATCCATATTTTAGCTCATGCCTTAATTATTATATCATTTCAAGATTGCAATAAAGTTTTTGTTGGGGGTAGAGCAGAAAGGAGTAGAAAATCAAAAGTTTTTTTTCTAAACTAGAGCCTAAGGTGTTCTAAAACACCAATTTAAATAATTTAGTTGTTTTCAGAAATGATTTGAAACTATTCAAATTGGTTGATGAGATCGTGGGTTATTCATCAAATATCAAGTTTCATTCAAAAAATCGACCGACCTAATACAGAACTCTAGCCCAATCAAATTTGATTGAACATTGAAAATGTATTTAATACCTGGCCAAGTAATTAACACTTCCGTAAGAGAGATGGAATTAAGGGGAATTGTAGGTATCAATTCATTCGCGGATCGAGCGTAAATGACACGTTCTGTCAACGAAAGCGCTGAATAAAATAATCACAATAAGTTCCAATCATTTACAGATAAAATTCAATTAATCAGTGAAGACTTTAATTGTTGTTTAATTTATTTTTTATGATTATGTTTGGCATCTTCCGAATTAGTCGAGGATCGAAAGTTTAATTTACTGAATCATTTGAAAAGAAAATCAATTTATATTTGATCACTGGAATGGAATCGTCACTTAAATAATATGTTGAATTTGTTGATTGAGTGAGTTTAAAGTGATAAAATGGTTAAGAAAATCGAAGATGAAAATAATGAATATTCCATCAAATAATTAAGTATATTGTTTGTTTCTTTCTCAGAATCAACTGATCAGCTGGTGGAAGATTAGACAATAGATTCAGATGAACGTTCACTATTTTCCTCTTCTCCATCTTCTTCCCTTTCGTCATCCGAAGTGATAACATCATCACCATCGATTTCATCCTCATCCCCTGGTAAATCATTTTCTTGATCCATTGAGACCAAAGATGAACTGTACTGCCCATTGAATTGACCATCGCCATAATGTTCAACCTCATCTCCATTGACGATCACATTGAGAGCCTTTTTGTATTCAGAGATCGATTGTTTGAGCATTTAATTGGGACAAAAGGACATGTCCAATTGTCGTAAACCAACCTGATTATTGTCGATAAAACATAAAGGCTAAAATAGTATATAAATTAGTTAAATCAACCGCAATTAGAGAGGAAATAATCACAAGAGAATCAAGAAATCAAAACTTACCATTTTCTTCTTAATTTCATCAATTCTTCATCGAGTTTATTGTTACATCCATAGGTAAATGATCCTCTTCCTTTCCTTGGGTTGATTTGTCATCGTTTCATTTAAATTCTGATCATTGGAAGTTAATGATTTAGGTGGAGGTGGAATTTTATCCATAATCAATTTAAATCTAAAATATTGAAAGAATCAAATTAGATTGAGTAACAATAACAAGGAAAAGCAAAACAACAACAAAGTGACTCATCTCTATTCAGATTCAATTTAAAGGTCCACCTGGTTTACTATCAATGAGTCTACAGGTGTCGAGATTAACAATCAACTCTCAGTTGGATGCGCATTGACAATTTACTCATTTTTAAATTTCCAATGAGTTTATGAAACGAATAAAGCAAATAATCAAATGATTAGTGAGAACAATTTAATCGCATGTTAATTTAGTTTGGATACACAATCAAGAGATTACAAATGAATCAATGGATTAGGATTAGAGTATTGAAATTTTGATTATAATTGGAATGAAATTTCAAATGGAGAGAAAATTTTTTTCACTTTTGATTAATTAATTGTATTGTCAGATTACTGTTTCCTCTAAATCTGATTAATTATATTGGTTAGTCTAAATACGATAATTTCAATGTAAAATATTAGTGAGATTATTTTCAGTTACTCTTATAATAGTATTGACTAGAATTAGACTAATATTCAAAGCAATTGGAGTGATTAGTTGAGTTATATTGTTGAATAGGAGTATTAATGGTGATAGAAATTGTAAATTAATTATTAGATAAATTAGATTTCGTTAATTATTTTGATTATCCTCGTTAATGGATGGCAAACGCTTAGGGTTAGTGTTATTACTTGTCGAGGTAACAATCGGAATATCTTCAGGTAATTTACGAGTTTTGAACGACGCGTTCGTAATTGCGGTTTTATTAGATGATGATGATGGGGTAGAAGTTACCGTTGAGGTCGATGTTAAAGGAACACTTATTCCTGTTTGTCCATCAGTTGATTGGGTTGTCGGTGGATTTGTGGTTAATTGATTCTTGATTGCATTAGTCATCTAGATAAGATTGAGAACGAAAAGAGAAACAAATGAGAATCGAAAGAATCAAATTGAAAATTGTATTCGACTTTTATCAACTATTAGCTTACCAATAAGACGTCAGGGTAAAGGTCAGTTAACCCACGGGAATGGACATGATCTAAAGCTTGAATGGCAATGTCACCAACACCATTGTAGATACAAAAATAGATGCAACTGGCAAGACGAACCAGAAATTGGGGGACAACGGTAATTTTACGAGGAAAATCAGGCAGTAAAGTGGAATTGTGAAGATTACCGATGGCGTTTGGGTGCTTACTTAGAACATCTTTCCAATCGGTTGGAGGCCGAGTTTCTTTTTCCAAAACACTGAGAATTAAGATGGAGAAAACAAAAACAGTTTGGTTAACTTGAAATCTCTCCATAGAATTTAAAGTATTAATAGAAAAGAGAATTTTTTACCTGATTGCCATTCGACACAAAGCGACATGAGATCTTTTAGGTAAACAGCTCATATGTTCATGGAATAAGTGTAAAAGACCAATCAGTAGATTGTTGCGATTAGAAGCATTGATGGAATCACTGGTTTTATAATTACCATAAACAGGAACATTAATAAAGGGTAGACCAGAATCAGGTTTACCAGAACTATCGTTACCGGTAGTTGATTGTTGACCTGATGATGAGGTTGAAGTTGTTGGCGGTTCGTGATAAACGGAGGGCTTTGCCGTTGTTGGCACTCTAAATGTCCGATTAGAACCTAATCCATCCTCACTTGATATTTCAGCATTGTAAACACCGAGAAGGACAGTGTCTACACATCGATATTTCCGTCGAACTCCAAAGGTTTAACACTAAATTGCAAATGAATATTGATTAGTGAGGGTAAGAAGCTAATTACAAATAATCGGAGTCTATCATCCTTCATCCGATGGTAATTAAACAATTGAGTACATATTGGTGCGAAACTGTCAACATGAAATGAAACAAACGTTAATAGTTAATGGACAGTTAAAGGTAAACGGATAGAGAGGTAACAAGAAAAAGAAAACAATTAATTAACTTAATTATTACCTTTTCATATGATTTATCATCTTCCAAGATATTCACTATCGCAGCGATCAGATCAGGGAAATTGAAAACACCAATAGCATAAGCATGTATTTCTTCAGGTGAGTTTTTGTATTGATTGAATTTGTCGAATTCACTTAACCAATCATCGACAATTTGACTCATAATGAAATCAATTTGATACAATTAAACGGTAACAATGGATTTTAAATACTAATCAGGCAATGAATTTATTACTCACTCTTCAGGTTGAGTTTCCTAAATGTTTACAGTTACAATGATTGAAAAATGCTCTGAGAATAGGATTAGTTTAGTGGAAATAACCAATTGATTTTGAGATAAAATTTATTTGATTAATGTGATAATCAAAGAGTAAAAACCTCTCTACTCTTTGGTGATAATCTAATTGTGATTACATGGAAGTGTCAACATTTGAACGGGATCTTTTATTGATCATCTAATTAGAGGATAAAATTTTTCTTCTATTCCATCGTCTTAGCAAATAGTTGATCCACTGTTCCCTCTTTTACTGACCAATGGTCAATTTATTTCCACTGGTGTACCTTCACCTTTTCAACAATCAACAACAAAATTTCAGCAATTTAATCCACAGTCACGACACCATCAGCAGAATCAACATGATAATAGTAGTTCTTGTTTTCCAATGTGCGATTAATGGTCACTCCAAATGGAAGCGCTTCAGTGTTGGTCAAAAATTCTGATTGACAATTAATCACAAACCAAAAATTTATTCCAAATTTCATATCACCAACTAGGAATATTAAATAACTCACTTGATGACAATTAGTAACTCTTAAGATGTTTAATCTTGAATAACTGATCTGTCTTATCGATAAATATTGTTGATTAGCTCGAAAATTGTTTCGATGTTTAAAACTAACGTGGTAAAGTTTTCATAATGATGGACACTCGAGTTTCGATATTTTTTGTAAAGTTATTTAGGTTTCGACACATGAAGATTTTTCATCAATTGTTCTCGACTCGATTTTAGTAATTTTTTTTCAATCAATTGATACTCTCGTTGTATCATTAATTGTGTAAATATTTCAAATCCTCTTCTCTTATAAATTAATTCAATTTAAATATCCATCATCAATTCACCTGTTGGCAGATCAAATCACCGATAACTGGATTATCATCAACAATTTGCATTTTGCCACCTAAAGATTGTAATAGTTAACAAAATCCTAATTTTTCACAATCAACTCTTTTTTTGTCTGTTTAATCATCTCAAGAGATAATTAAGCCAATTAAGCACTTTGAAACTACAAAGTTACAAAATTTATCATTTTACAAACAATTTGTGTGTTTTAATTGTACAAAATACAAAACAAACTACCAACCAACCACTCCTTGAACCCTCAATTTTAATAATAATCATCATTAAATTATGTTGACCTTTTTTAGCTACAAACTAAAACTACCTTTTAAATTAAATCATTACAATAATAATTGATAGAGTAAAAGATGATTGATTTAAGTAGAAAACAATCAAGTTAATCAACGTGTTTTGATTTTCAATAAACTGACAATTAAGCTCAAGAAGCTACAAGTTAAACCAAGTGTAACCAGAAAACCAAGAAGAAAAAACCAACGACCGAAACTAAATTCATCTAAAACAAAAACAAACAATTAAAAGCAACACCAATGTAATTGGTGAAAAGTCTTCAAATAATCAAAGTTAACAATCGATATCATCAACTTATCATAATAAATCCAATCGAAACCCTTTAATGGTCAATAAATGTAATTTCATTTCTCTTTGGACCAAGAAGAAGTTGAAAGTAGATGAATATCATAATTATCTCAACACTAAAAAAGACTAACCTTAAATCTAAACAATTTCATAAGAAAAAAATTATCAAAATCAAAAAGAATCAAATTGATAATAAAAAAAAAGAGTAATTAAAAATGTTCACTTTGGTTTTTCTTACTTTTTCTTTATGATTTTAGTTTAATATTAACGTTCGCTTTTTGTTAACTTTAGATGGCGACACTTTCGTCAGCTCACAAGTCGAGCAAAGAAAATCTCAACGGCGCAGCTCAGACTTTCCATCGAAAGAGATGGTAAGCCGAAAATGAGCTTGTTCTTTTTTTCCAATTTCCAGTTGATCGGCTTCACCTTATCTTCGGCTCAATTTTGTTTACCAAAAAATTTCTCTTGTGCTTTGATTAATTAAATAAATTGTGATTAATTGAATAAATTGTGATCAGTTAAATAAATTGTGATTAGTATTACATCCAGCTAAACAATTGACCAACAGTGTAATAAATAAAAAGAAAAAAAAAAAAAAAAAGAAATTTGAGAACAAAAAACATGGCACCAAGAAAGAAGGTAAGCAACGTGCTCTATAGACAGGCAAATGTATTTTAATAGAAAAATGGAATTACTTAAGAAAATGAATTTATAACAAATGTATTTCTAAAGAACTGTATTTTACATTTACATTCACAATTGTAGCAAAATGTTTTCCTTCATGTAACTCTAAGGAAGAGTGACATCGAAAGATATAAAGAAGCGATTAACCGCATGCAAAAGGCACTAGGTGATGAAAATTCAAAGGTTGGATAAAAAGACAATTAAGGCGAACTTGGAAACATGGGATCAATCGTTATTGATAGAAGATGTTGCGCTACTTAAACAAGCATTGGTAGCACCGAAGGACAATGATGGTAATACTATCGAAGAAAGTAAACTGAGCCTATTCAAAGACATGATACAATGGATGGAAACCCATCTGAAGAAAAAGGTGTAAATGCTAGCGCCGAATCTGCGGTTGCACAAGATGAATCACCAAGTATCATCAGGATCATCTGACGATGAAGAACTAAAGAAAATACAACCAATAAAGAAAAGATTAAGCGTTCGAACAACATTATGCCGAACCGACAAAATAAAATCGACGTCCCAAAAATTGGTGGCCATGGAATGATGTACGAGATTCTTCCGAATTGTAGTGGAAGGTCCTGAACAACATCGAACGGTAACAGCCCTCACGGAAACGATGTCGCGAATCGAAAAGACATTCAAGTTCAAAGCTATATGCTGGAGAAACTTCTCTTTAATAATTGTCTATTCAGAACAAGATAGAAACGAATTACACAAACTTCTATCAGCTGAAAAAGTAGTGTTCAGAGTACCGGAATGGCAGAGACCAAATATTAAGTTGCTTTTCATAAAGCCACCAGTTAACGAATCATGGATAGTCTATGTTAATAGAATCATGAGACTGAATGGTTTTAAAGATGAAAAACAATATAAACTCAAGAGTTACTTTGACATGGGACGCGGAGAAAAATTTGGAATAGTACTAGAAGTAAGCCCAGCAATTCGGTCAACTATCGAACAAACCATGAAAGGCAGAATTTCACTGGGATACTCATTTGCAATTGTGCGAGACTCCTTTGAAGTGATCAATTGCAGATCTTGCAACAAATTTGGTCACACGAAAAACAAATGCGTAAACCAGATAAGATGCACAAGATGCGCTGAAAGACACCTTAGAATGAATTGCAAATCGGAAGAGACTAAATGTGCCTCATGTGAGAGACCTGATCACACTGCGTACTCACAATCATGCCCTTTATATCGCAGTGAATTACAAATGGCTATCTCAATTATTGATTATCAATATGATTACCTAATGATGTAAAGGCTAACTCCAAATCCGAGGTTGCCGAACTTCGCGCAGTAAAGTAACCATAACGACGAAACCACCATTTTGTCTTCCTTTGACATAGTAATGAAAATTAACATATACTTGATAACTTTTGTAAACAAAGAGAATAAGTTTGAAAACAAAAATAAAACTGATAATTTGTATTTAAGTTAAAAACAAAACTGATAACTTGTATTTAAGTTAAAAACAAAATGGATTTGTCAGCAGATGAATTAATAAACAAATTGAAAAGTGAAAACTTATTAAATGAACAATTTATTGATTGGTGTGAAAATAGTGAAAAACTCAGAGAATTTCTATCGGATATATTGAAAATTGGAAAAGAAGAGTTTAAACAAAAATGGAAACCAAGCCCGATGATAGTCACTGGTGCCAATGTAGTGGTCTCCTTTCTGACTCAACAAGATATTGATTCCGAGGCGAAAAACGTTCAACAGAAACTACTGGAATTAATCGAATTACCTGAAGACACCACAGAGCAAGATCCACTAGTAGACGGTGGTTTTATCGACGAGGAGATTATTGTTTATCACAGTGTATCTAAAAGATGGACCCCACCGGAATTTGTACGAACACGAATCGAGAAAACAATGAAAGGAAAGAGGAAAACGGCACATATAATGGCCAGACCAATGGGGATAAATGAAGTTGAAGATCTGTTCACAGAACTTGACGACCAGGTTAATGTGGCAATCATGGGATGGTTCACTCTATCATGTAAAACAGAACCAGCAAGAGGAATTAGAAGATATAATGGAAAACTGAAAGATATTGTGCACTTCATGGAGATAAAAGAAAATTACGATGAGATGGTAGTAACAATATTCGTTAAAAGTCAAGAAGATTATGATAAGGTCAAAAAGGTCACCCATGGTGATAAGTGAGAAGAAAACGATCCACTTATTAGGCAGAGCAAAACATGGTTTTTGTCATAAATGTGCAACACACTACCAAGGGTGGCACCAGAAACATTAGGCAAAAGCAGTTAGGCCGTAGCCCCATCGACAACTGAAAGATAATCATTATTATCATGATAAATAATAAGAGAACCAGGGTGTAACAGGTCAACAGCTCCTCTAATGAGGATAAATTTCACCATTGTTAATTTCAAAATAAAGATCATCTTTTACTCTTAAATTTATGACAGTGTGCCAACAATCTTTTATCACCGGGTTCAGGAATTCGAAAACGATCTCTAACCTACGGTCATTATTTTGAATAGAGGATAAACACTCGTGAAACCATGACGGTAATAAGTTCTATCCTCGCCGCCAAAAGAGATAGTGAATTTCTCCTCCATAGCAACCATAACATCATCATTCTCAATCAAACTTGGGTCGAGATGAAAAGCCAAAATAGTAGGTAAATGAGTTATTTTCAAATTAGCTAAGGCACGAAAAGAACTACCACAAATGGAACCATTGACTCTTTTAGAGCAAGAAAGATTTATATCAGCTATCCAAG